CGCCCCTCCTCCGGTCCTCCCCCTGCACACACTTCTCCCTCCCCCCTCTGCTTTCCCCTCCCCCCAGTGTGCTGCAGCATCTGCTTCCTCAGTGTCAGCATCAAAGTTTCATCAAAGCTGAGGCCCAGCAAAGTGTGTACTTCCCATCTCTCAATGTGCTTCTTCCCAATGAAAAATTCAGTGGAAAACACGAGACATTAAAGTGGCGGGTAAGCAAACCGATTCAGGAAGGAAGAAGGAAAGGGAAGAAAAGAGAACTACCTCTGAATGTGGTTCCTCTGCGTCTGCTCGCATTTATTGGGCATCTGCCTCACTTAGGGCCCTGGGCCAGACACAGAGGCGGGGCTGAGGGATGCTGACGATACAGTCGCACAGGCTGTACACTGCACAACTCCAGAGGATCCATTCCCGGAGACAACTGAGGTGGTTCTGCAGAGTAGGCAAGCTAGCTCCTATCCACATGGCGTGGGAGTCAGGAGGCCTGGGTGCCTGTGTCTGCTCCCCCACTCCTTAGTCATCACACACCCTTGAATCTTAGATTTCTCATGTCCCAACGGGGGTGGGGTGGGGTGGGGTGGGTGTCACAATATGTACCCTTCTCATCTCTCAGTGTTCCAGGAAAGAGGTGTACTTTGTAAACCATTGTGATAAAGAGAGAAAGCAATTCACTGATCCTCGGGTAGAGGGCCGACATGGGGCAGAGATGGACTCAGTCTGTAATAAGGCGGGAGGAGAGCCAGGGTCACTGCAGCGATGACCTCGTGTGGCCCGCGGGTGTGGTGAGTCGGGTGCCTGCTCACCTCTGCCGCTCACTGGTTTTGTCACTTTAGATACATCACAGCTCCCGTAAGCCTCAGTTTCCTCATCTGTAAAATGAGGCTATCAGATAAAGTGATCTGCAAGTTCCTCTTTTGGCTCATTTGGTCTGTACTTCCAGTTCTAAGAAGTCGGTTCTGTTGGCCTTGGGGCGTCACAGGAAGTTTAGACTGACAAGACCTGCCCCGGGCTTCCCTATTCCCTAGAGGGCACTCCCATCCCTACCCCACGCCCCCATTGCAGAACAGCCTCCTGTTACTGTGCTCCGTGCACAAGAGCCTCAGGGTGCATAGATACAAGCCTTCCTGGAGCAATGCAGCCCCTTCCTCCTCGCTGGAGGCAGGACACATCAAGACTCCCACCCCACCTGGCAGACGAGCCAGGAACACCCATGCCTGGAGCGGC